GCAAGCTCCCAGGTATTCAGATTTGCACTTGGCCGACATGGGACAGAATGGGCAGGAGAAGGCAGTGGTTTTGTTCAACTTGCTGACCCAATGGGTCGAGGGAAGAGCCTTGATTACCAGTTCTGATGAACATGGAGAATGGCAACGGCTTTGCAGCTTGGAAGGCTCCATGTGAGGCCTATCAACCTGACATTGGTGGCAGGCTGTTGACAGGGATCATTGCCCGTGCATGGGGTTCAGTGAAGGAGATTGACTTCCTCGAGGCGATGGAGACCTGGGAAGTGCAGATTAGGCGCTATGAAGTGCAAAGCGGGGAACAAGTGTCAGATTCAACCAAGATCGCCGTCTTGATGAAGCACAGCCCAGCTTCTGTGAGATCAGCGTTGAGGATGGCTGGATCGCAGATTAGAACTAACTATGAACGCGCAAAGAAATTCCTACGGACTTCTTGCAGAGCGGCTCCTACTACACCAACCGAGGTGAGAGCACAAGAGATGATGGTGGCCCAGCTCCTATGGATGCGGGAGCGACTGGTCATGACAAGGGAGAGAAAAGCAAGCGTGGCAAACAAGACAAAGGAGTGAACAAAGCGGACAAATTCGACAAGACCAAAGGCGGCAAGGCAGCCCCCAAAGTTCAACGGCGAGCGCTCCTATTGCTACAAGTGGGGACACAACAAGGCCGATTGCAGGCTGCAGAGAAGATGGTGGTGGAAAAGGCAAAGGATCTAGCACGAATGTTGTGTGGCTGGATGATTCCGGGCCACGTGTTTCTTTGGGCAGATGCCTCTGAGGAGACCTTTGACATCGAGGACGACTGTGATGACGCCCGATGGGTCATGATGATCCAGAGAGAGCTCGGCGAATGGCAAGGGCATGTCAGACTGGCATTTGTTGGGGCACAGCTGGCCTATTGGTGGCGACAAGTTCACCATGAAGAGTGATGCCCAGCTCCTCGGCATTTCTGGGCAGAGTCTTGGACAGCCTGGTCGAAAGCGTGTCTACTTCAAGATCATCGGCGAGGATCACCAGTACCTCAACGTGATCACCGAGTTCAAGGTGAGTGAGAATGCCAGCAAGGACGTTGTGAGTGTTGGCAAGATGAGCAGGCGAGGATTCACTGCAGATCTGACTGACAAGTTTCGTCCATTCCTGTCACACCCTGACCTGGACTACAAGATCCCCTTGTACCTGTACAAGAACTCGTACTACATCAAGGTCAGAGATGATGAGGCTATGCTCATGGATTCAATGCCCAATGCAGTGATCGCCCCAGCGGAAGGTCAAGGTAATGAATATGAGTGGGAGTATGCTGGCGTGGCCGATGACGAGGAGGGCATGGAACCGGTACCCCTATACCAGATGAGTTTGGTCGAGATGATGACGCTCATGCACGTGCTGACAGACCCAAGCTGCACGGGTGGCTTCGAGAGTTGGACGAGCCCATCTACGGTGACGAGCACACCCTATGGGAACGGCTGAAGAAGGCCGAAGCAGCTTTGAGATCTCGGCAGGCAAAAGCACGTGACTATTATGTGGACAGGCAGAGTGCTCGACAGCAAGCTCTTCGAGAAGGTCTTGAACCAGATGTGAGATATGTTCCAGTCCCTCAGATGCCTGATACTGAAGAGGTGGAGAGACACCTGATCACTCACATCCCCCCAGCACCGTGGTGTGAGTATTGCGCAAGAGGGCATGCATCTGATGAGCCGCATCGTCGACATACTGTCGACCAGAGGCTGGTCGACAACCACGTTGAGCTGGACTACTCCTTCCTGAAGACGGACACCGGACACCAGCTTGGCAGAACGCTTCGAGGAGAGCAGCGACACAGTGCTCTCGATTGTCGACAGTGGCACTGGTATGGCATTGGCCTTGAGCATTCCAGGAAAGAATCTCGAGATGCCATATATGTTGTGAGGGTGATTACTTCATTCATCACTCAGCTTGGCTACACCACCGTGAAGCTCAGAAGCGACAATGAGCCAGCGATCAAGAAAGTTGTGGCCAAGATAGCAGCGGCCTTGAGAGAAGGGAAAGCTCCTGGTGCAGCTGGACTGAAGATCATCTTCGAAGAAGTTCCAAGGTATTCGAGTCAGAGCCTTGGGCACATGGGATTCAACGTCTCCTACGAGGTGATGTGTTCACCCTGAGATACTGCGTCGAGGCAGAGTATGGCAGTTTGAATTTCTGCAGCAGTACCTGCGTCGAACAGACCCATCAGGTTTCCTCCGCCTCACCCATGTTGCATCCAGCACTTTCATGCCTTTCTCATAGGCCACAGGGATGTAGGTCTCACGCTTGTCCATCTTGTTGAACTCCTCTTCATCGCCCTCCTTGATCTCTTCAGCAGTGAGGGGCTTGTTCTCTTCGACTCCTGAATCCATATGCACGTCCTCCACTTCCTCCTCACTAATCACGATGTCCTCGGTTGGGTTGTAGAGCGCACCAACGTAGATTCCTCCCACGCGAGCCTTCTTCTCAGGTCTTTCGTCGCCTCCACTGCCTGACCAAGCCAGTCTTGCTGAGATCTGAGATGGGTTACAGCTTTCTGACAGCTGATGCTGAGAATGCTTTCTGGCAAGTTCCCGTTCAGCAGGAGGCATACCTATAGGCGCCCAAAGAATGGTCGAGAGGCAGCTCGAGAAAGGGCGACTTTGCCGGAGAATGCCGTTTGGAAGCTCAAGAAGGAGTGGTACGGCAGGCGCATTGCTGGGCAATCTTTTGTGGAGTGGACTGCCGGGCAGGGCGCTTGAAGAACTTATCGTTTGAGCATGGTTTTTCTTCAATGCAAGCACAGGTGTGGCGGTCGAAGAGCATATGGATGGCATCTTTGCCACTGGACCCTACAAAGCATTGGTTGGCTTTGAGAAGGAACTTCATGGACGCATCGAGATGAAAAGCTAGATTGCTAGATCCACTTGCAGAAGCCCGGAGAGAAGTTCACGCACCTCAAGAAGACCAGAGAGATCCACGAGGGGGAACTCCTCGAAGCAAGTACATCACAGGCCTGCTGAGCATGCTTGGTCTGAGTGAGTGCAACGAGGCTCCTGTGTCATACATGCACACTGAGGTGAAGGATGGCAAGAAGTTGACCGGCGAGCAGGTGAAGCTTTTCCATGCTGGAGTTGGTTTGGCCTTATACCTCTCCTATGACCGGACAGACATCCAGTTGGCAGTCCGGGAGATGACAAAAGATATGAAGGAACCTTGCGAGGGCAGCATGATCTGATCAAGTTGCACCGTCTGGCAAGGTATCTCCAGGGCACACGTGACTTCGGTGCGTGGCTCCCTCGAAGTGGGGGGATGGACAAGTTGATCGTCCACTCGGACACGGACTGGGCAAATTGCAAAAAGACGAGGAAGGGTTGCGCTTGCGCCATGTTCGTGGTTGGCAACTGCCTGATCTGCAGCCATGCAAGATCATTGCAGATGCTTTGCTTGATTGAGTTCAGGCGAGGCAGAGTTCAATGGTGGAGTGTCTTTGGCTTTGCGGGCAACTCCTTGAAGATGGAGGTCTACTTGGACAGCAGCGCCGCCAGAGGCGTGTTTCAGCGCCAGGGTGTCGGCCGGATTCGACACCTATAGAGGTCAAGAGCTTGTTGTGGGCGCAGGAAGCACTCCTTAGGAAACTGTTTTCTTTGCGTGCGGTCCCTTCCCAGGACAACACAACAGACTTTGGCACGAAGGCCTTCAGAAGTTTGGCAGTGGGAATTATGAGAAAATCGAGAAGAAGGCAGCGATTCAAGAGAAGGAGAACTACAAGAGCGTGGCAGCTGTGAGCGCAGTGGAAATGGAAGCACTGCTGACATTGCTTCAGTCAGCAGACGGCTATGAGATTGAGCCCAATGTGGACAGCAAGGGTGACTGGGTCTTCACTGACCTTGGCTTTGGCATCAGCATCGCGCTCCTACTCCAGAGCTTGATGTTGTTGATTTTCTTCAAGTGTGTGACCCGGCACTTCCAGGTCTATTGGGGGCTTGAGCCTGGGCACAAAGGATGCCACGACTGCAGGGAAGGGAGTGCAGTGTGAGATCAGCGCATGGTCGAGCAACGATTCCCTGCGCCTGCCACGAAAATTTACGTGTCCACACGTCTAACACGCGCAAAGTAGCGTGCCTGCCACGAAATGTGACCTCCGCCACACCTCGCAATCTCACAATTCCCTGCGCCTGCCACGAAAATCACACTTCCACACCTCAAAACCCGCACAAAGCACTATGCCTGCCACGAAAAGTGACACTATCATATCATGTAAGCTTCAACAAAATGTGCACCACACCACACGTCTGGAATGATTTCGACCCGTTCTGAGCACACTCCCATCCACCATCATCCACCAATATCACCATTTCAGCGGAGACTTGTCACGAAAACACAGCTTCGATGCAACACCCTGAAACGCAAATCCCAATGTCACAGCCACATCCAACACCCCAAAAACACCACCCTCCAAACGCCAATCTCAATGTGACTACGCAGAAAACTGCGGATCTCACAAAACGCTGCGCAGGCAGTGAAATCGTTCTCTACACTTTAACATCTTACGTTTCACATGTTTCCTCGCTATTTCACATGAATCTGACACGTCATGCTTCCACGCCAAACCCTCTCCAAAAGCTTCCCCCAATGGCAGCGGCCATAGCGCCCTACTGCGGACGGTTGACAACGGTTGACAACGGCTGCGAACACTGAGACAACGGGTCACGAGCAAGGCTCTACCCCCAGACCCCCAGAGTTAAGCGAGAACCCTTCGCTACGCATTCGGGAAAAGAAAAATAAGACGGGACAGTTTATTATTGACCAGAAAAGTTCGATTATATAAGCCAGGAAGCATCTTGTCACACTCTGGAGATCCTTCAGCTCCCGAGTGCGACCACTTTGCGACGGTGAGGTGCTGTCCTCTGGTTTCGAAAGCTGGGCAGAGGAATCCAGCACACACATTGAGTGGAAGGTAGGAGCAAGAAACTACTAGTAGCAAGAAGCTAGTAGGTGAAGGCCATCGCTATTGGCTTGGAGGCCATTTCTACTAGTGACAAGAAGCTACTAGAGCAAAGGGAAACTCCATGAAATTCCACAAGCCGTTTGGCTCCCCGGTGCGCAGTAGTAGGCTGCCAAGATGAAGCACCTGCCTTGCGTCTCAGGGTTCTTTGCTGGCCTGTCCTTGTGGACATGTTCGTTGACACTACGAGGATGTGATGTTCTGGCAGGTGACGGCGATGAGGGTAGTACGCTCAATGTCACCACGTCCACAGCCCCCGCAGAGATCATGAGCACGGTAGCAGACACCACCTTGGCAGATACTACCTCGTCCACAGCCCCGGCAGAGATCATGAGCACGGTAGCAGACACCACCTTGGCAGATACAACAGTGATAGGGACCACGGCTCCAGTAGATAGCACAGCTGCGGCAAATGCCACCACCCCAACAAATACCACAAGCACGGCTGTGACAGGTACCATAGCCCCGCCAGGTGCCACCATGACCACGACCATGATCGCGACCGTGACCGCGACGGCGACCATGAGCGCGACCATGACCGCTACCGTGACAGCGACCATGACCACGACCGTCACTGTCACCACGACCATGACTACGAATACCACGACCGTGACGACCACAAGCACGTCGATGACGACTGCGACCACGACCACGGGGACAAGTAGCACCACAACTACTCCACCTCCGCTTGGCACTTGCTTTGGTGGAGGGAAATTTGACGGTGGAGCTGGAGCATGCTCAGACGTTGAGCTGAGAGGTGCCACCAGGGTGATCTCAAACACCTGTGCCTACGTAGCCCTTAACCAGGATGGCACAGGTGTGTGTTGGGGGGATCAAAGTTGTGGGGCAGATTGTCCTAACATTGACTTTGCAACAGATATCTATGCAACGTCTCTTGCTTTTCTTGCCTTGAACAAGACCGATGGGAGGGCCGTTTGTTGGGGACGAGATCCGACGACCAACTATTATGGAGAAAACTGCTCCGGCCTTGACTTCACGGGCGTCACCCATGTCTACGCTTCTTCAACAGATTTTGTGGCCTGGAACAGCATTTCTGGCACCGGCTTTTGCTGGGGAAGAAATGGCGATTGTGCGGGCCAGGACTTCACGGGCATCACCGACATGTATTCCTCTAGTGATGGGTTTATCGCTTTGAACCGAAACGCAGGCACAGGCTTTTGTCTTGGCAAATTTGCCCATCGCTTTTACTGTAGCCGCTACGATTTCGGTGCTACGGGCTTGGAGATCTACGCCTTTGACGATGGCTTTGTCGCTGGGCCAGCCGGTGGACAATACAAATCATCGACCATGGATGTAGGGTCACTGGCTGCTGGCAGTTTGACAGGGACCACACATACATATTCCACAAACACTGCCTTCTTGGCCTTGAACATGAATGCAGGAACAGGTGTTTGCTTTGGAGACGCTAGCAAAGGAGGCGACTGCTCCCAGATTGATTTCACGGGCGTGACGAGCGTACATGCCACGGCTGGGGCATTCTTGGCACTGAACACGGCTTCGGGCACGGGCACTTGCTGGGGGGACATCGACTGCAGCAGCGTCGACTTCACTGGCGTCACTGACGTCTACTCCACCGAGTATGCCTTTTTCGCGTTGAAGAGCAGCGGAACAGGTTTTTGCTTTCCAGTGTCAGACAGTGAAGATGATTGCTCACAGATAGACTTCACCGGGGTCACCCATGTGGTCTACACTCAACGTAGCTTCCTTGTCATCAAGTCCGATCAGCCTGAACTACTAAGTACGGAGGGCTACCGTGATGACTTTAACCCCTTCGTCGTGCCGTAATTCAATCAGCAATGAGATCCCCCAAAGCTTTGGGGAGAGGCCAGCTCTGCAAAACGCACTGGCTGCCTAAAAACGGATCAACTTGCATCGCGCCAAAAAGAGCATTTGCCTCATGCGCGGTGTGCTGAGTGTTTGATGAACTTGGCCCAGAGACATGCATTTCTCGGATGCACTTTTGGAGTTTGCATGGAAGCGTTCCTCCAATGTGTCGCTGTATGGCGCGTTTCTGTGGCTTAGTCAACATGGTCCAAAGTTTGGAAAAGGGGCGCATTCTTGTTAGGAAAAAACATCTCAAAAGGCGAGACAATGTTAAGAGGGATTCTGTGCTGTACCATGCTATACCCTTACCTTGTTTTTCTTTCCTTTTCTTGTTCTGGACGAAGCCAGACAAGACCTTCCAATGCTTTGCACAAGCGCTTCATGTAGCTGACTTTCCAGGATGGAGACACGGTATCGGCAGCGTCGATGCCAGACTCCTTACGACTCGCTGCCGTTGTGTCATGTTAAAAGCAACCTGCTGTCGTTGGTCACCAAGAAGAAACATGTCCGTTGCAGTCGATTTCCATGTTTCTCATGAGAAGCACAGGAACAAACTGCTAGCTAGAGTTGCTTTTTACGTCTTTGCCTTTGCAAGTGCTCTCTGTGTGTTTCCTGCATTTCCACCCATCCGATTCTGTCAAATCTTTAGAGTTTCAGCTTTTCCAGGGGCGTGGTTGCAGGTTTCCACTGAACATCTTACACTGCACTGTAGCTGCCCTGTACTATCTGTACTCCGCCCCAACAGTTTTCTGTGCAGATGGTTGTGTGGTTGGCATAGGCTTGGCATTAAGCTAGAGTTCACTAGCTGCAAGGCCTCTTCCAAACCTCAACAAAAAACCGGTCTTAATCTTTATCTTAAGCATCAAAACTTAGGTCCATTACCCCGTGCAGTTGCTCTACCACACCACGTGCACATCTGCGCGCCGACCGTTTGGTTTTTCCCCTTCACTCGTCAGTGCATGTGCACTCGTTCATGTGCGTTCTCTGCAATTTTTCGTCGCACAAAGACCGGGGTAGAAACCTACCTCGGTCCATCCAGACTTATGGCTTTCCTGCTTGACTGATGACTGAGCTGTACTCACAAAACTGAGAGACTAAACCAATAAAGCTAATCATTGAGATTACTGGTGGTGTGGCAGATGGCCAGCCAAGCCAAAGGTCAGGCCGCCCTTTTTCTTTCTTTCGTTCTTTCTCTTTTCTTGAGTTGTGAGCTTAAAAGAACCATTCTCTTTGTAATTTATGTCAGAATTGAGTCTTTGCCCTGCCCAGGCGCAATTTGATTTGGTTGAATTTGTGTTCTGCTGTGGGGAAGCCATTTTCCATTCCCTTCCTCCGGACGTGCCATTTGCTATGTGCATGGCTGCCCGCTGCAAAACTGGTCCAGTCAAAGATGACGGCTAAGGCACCAGCTGGCATGTAGGGAGTGTGCCACGAGCAAGATCTTGCGTTGGAGGAATGCCCGCACGGCATTCGCATGGCCCTCGTTGCAGCGTGGGAGGCCAAGAGGACACTGAAAGGGCAGAGGCTCCAGCTTGTTTAAGCGCTCAGGTCCGCTGCCACGGCTGAAGCTGTGACTTTCCCAATTGATTTTGGGAAGACACGCATGCAATTGCATGCTGGAAGGTTGGGCCACCGAGCTGCGTGTTTTTCCTGTTCCTGTTGCGTAGACGCGTAGACACTGCCAGACACGTATACCCCTCCCTCCCAGGCAAACCTTCTCTGGTGCCTTGGAACTACCGGCGTGTTGAGACAGGCCTTCTGATTGCTAGTTCACAGCGTTTTCACACTGTGTCAGGCCTCCGCAGTCCGCAAAGAAGGAATAGGCGTGTTCCTTACTTAGTTTGACATGTTTTTTGTTAGCTGTTAGCTACTATGTTACTATGTTGCCTCACGGTTCCTGCATGTCAGTCAGTGGTCACAAACCCCAGTACAGATGCGAGGCGGAGTCTATGCTGGTATCCAGCTGCTGACCCAGGCAATCGGAATGTGAGACGTTCGACGACCACACCGCTAAGGCCAGCCATTGTTCGTCATCTTGTGTATTCATCCTTGCGGATCTCTTTGTACGAGGCTGGCACATGTAGCTGACAGAATCTGGTGAAATTCATCACAATGCCAGAAGGAAACCATCGCTACTAGGCCATCGCTTTCAGGGTGGAGGCAACATTCGCTCTTAGGTTGGAAACCATCGCTACTAGGGTGGAGGGCGTTGGAGGCCATCGCTACTAGGGTGGAAGCCATCGCTCTAAGGGTTGAGGTCATCGCTCTTAGGTTGGATGCCGTCGCTCTTAGGGTGGAGGTCATCACTACTAGCATAAAGGCCATCGCTCTTAGGGTGGAGGCCATCGCTACTTTTTCCCCAAACAGTTGTTCTCAATTCTTTCTTAAGATGTGTCCGCCGTTTGTGTCACTGCTGGTGTCCACCCTTTTCCGCTGGCGATGCAACATTGCTATTCATTTGTCTCCCAGGTCTGTCACTGGTGGTGTCCACCCTTTTCCGCTGGCGATGCAACATTGCTATTCATTTGTCTCCCAGGTCTGTCACTGGTGGTGTCCACCCTTTTCCGCTGGCGATGCAACATTGCTATTCATTTGTCTCCCAGGTCTGTCACTGGTGGTGTCCACCCTTTTCCGCTGGCGATGCAACATTGCTATTCATTTGTCTCCCAGGTCTGTCACTGGTGGTGTCCGCCATATTCCGCTGGCGATGCAATATTGCTATTCATTTGTCTCCCAGGTCTGTCACTGGTGGTGTCCACCCTTTTCCGCTGGCGATGCAACATTGCTATTCATTTGTCTCCCAGGTCTGTCACTGGTGGTGTCCGCCATATTCCGCTGGCGATGCAATATTGCTATTCATTTGTCTTCCAGGTCTGTCACTGGTGGTGTCCGCCTTTTCCGCTGGCCATGTAGCATTTCTATTCATTTGTCTCCCAGGTCTGTCACTGCTGGTGTCCGCCCTTTTCCGTTGGTCACGTAGCATTTCTATGCATTTCTCTCCCAGGTTTATCGCTGCTGGTGTCCGCCCTTTTCCGTTGGCCATCCGCTGGCCATGCAGCATTTCCATTCATTTGTCTCCCAGGTCTGTCACTGGTGGTGTCCGCCCTTTTCCGCTGGCCATGTAGCATTTCTTTTCATGTGTCTCCCAGGTCTGTCACTGGTGGTGTCCGCCCTTTTCCGTTGGCCATGCAGCATTTCTAGTCATTTGTCTCCCAGGTCTGTCGCTGCCTTCTGTCTCCCTTTGTCTCTGGTCTTGTCTCCCTTCTTGTTGGGCACTGTGTCCGTCTTGTCTCCCTTCTGTCCTTTACATTTGCCTCCTCTCTCCCCCTCTCGCTTGCATTTGTCTCGCAGCGCTGGGCTGCTGTGTCCGCCTCTGCCTTGCAATCCTTTATTACATGTGCCCTC